ACCTCTCGTATGTTCGAACATCCGCCGTCCCCGATGTTCGAACATCGGGGACATGCGAACATCCATGATGTTTGCACGTTTCCGATGTTACGCTGTGTGCTGGGCCAGCACACGCTGAAAACACGCTGAACTCTTTGACAAAGGTTCGACCGTGTTCGAGACCCGAGCAGGGTAAACTCATTTTAGTGTTCTGGTTTCGAACATGGTTTCGAACATGCTTATTTCATTCTCAAGGATTTCACTCTTTTCGGACGCGGGATAGGCTTAAATTTTTGTCCATAAATTCAGGCTATCTTAACCATGTCCGCGCTCAGACAAGTGACCGATGCCTCCAGTGGTCAGCTCTCTTCTCTTCCGTCCATGATGGCTGCAGGAAACAGCAACACCCAATATACGCTTCTCTTACGGCCTCTTAGCTCCCGTGCGATCTCTACGACCTATGGACGAACAAGACCTCGCCTTCTTGCTTCAGCGCTCGCAGTTTGATGCACAACGACAGTCACTCCGGTAGCGCTCGGTTACGAGCCGAGGCTACCCGGCGCTCCTCAGATCCTCAGGTCTCACTCATTCTGATGCTGTGAGGACATGCAGCACGCGTATCAACGGCGGCAAGGATGACACTTGTACAGTGCTGTAACTATCAAGTATGGGCGGCACAGGCCGGTTACCCTCGGTTGCATTCGGCTACTCTCGGTTACGGGCTCCTGCGATAAGCGTCAGTATTGGCGCGCTGTGAGGCAGTACTCTGCTTACATGCTCCAGCTGATGTATAGAGCGCTCGGCTCTTGACGCGTACACAGAGTTGTATAGGGCCGCCGCACGCGCGCTCCGTCGGCTCGGCATGAGGTTTCTTGCCCATTGTGAGCACCTATTTCTCTTACAAGATTGTAGCTGACTACGCGTTGACGGCAAGCAGCCGCGTCGATCGACTTCCAGGTAGAAAAGGCAACTCGCAGCAACCCGTCTACCCAATATTCTCTCGCTCCTCACATACTTCACACGTCCATATTCGCAAACATGGCCCGCATTTCTATGAGGGAGTTCATGCGCAGGCAGCGGTCTACGACCCCGCCCGTCCTCAAGGCGGACCTCTCCGGCAAAGTTGTCATTGTCACCGGCGCCAACGTCGGCTTGGGGTTCGAGGCAGTCAAACACTTTGCGCGTATGAACCCCGCGAAGATCGTCATAGCGTGCAGGAGCCAGGCGAAGGGCGAAGCTGCACTCGCAAGTGAGTATACTCTCATCTTGTTTTGGCTGTGACATGCTCATTACTTTCTTTGTTAGACTTGAAGCGCGAGACGGGGTACACTCGCGGAGAACTTCGATTGCTCGATCTGAGCGACTTCCAGTCTGTAATACGCTTCGTGGAGAAGTTTGAGGCGGAGAACGAGCGACTCGACATTCTGGTCAATAACGCTGGCATCCACAACTTCCAGTATGAGGCGCTGCCTACAGGCGTTGAGGCGACGTGAGTACTACTCGAGATGCAACATCTTCTGTTCTACGCTGACTTGCGGGAATACGTATCGCAGGGTGCAAGTCAACCATCTGTCCACGTCCCTGTTGTGCATTCGCATGCTTTCTCTCATGCACAAGACTGCCACCGAGTTCAATACTCGCCCGCGCATCGTCATCGTCACCAGCGGCACGCATTACAATCTTGACATGCCTCCGGCGGTTGTTCAGTCTCCCCGCATGTTTGACAAGCTCTCGGAACCGCAATACTGCGCAAATAAGAGGTCAGTGCTGGCTGATTCTCTTAACGCTCGAAGCTCATCTTCCTCTTCACAGCGTCATGGCCGAGCGGTACAACCTCACGAAGCGTATGCATCTCCCCCGTTCCCTTGAATGCGCCTGCTGATCCGCCCACAGTCATCAACGTCTTCTTCACCCGCGCGCTCGCTGCGCATCTTCCAGCCGACTCCCCAATCATCGTAAACAGCGCGAACCCGGGCTTCTGCTACTCCGAGCTGCGCCGTACGGCGCCGGCCATGCTAGGCGCGTTCCTCCATCTCATGGAGTACATGATGGCCCGCACCACCGAAGAAGGTTCGAGGCAGTACATTTGGGCCGCTCTTGCGGGGGAGGCCGGTGATGCGACGCCGGTGGATAAGTTGCGGGGGGCCTTCGTGAGTGAATGCAGGGTCACCGAACCTAGCAGCTATATCTTCACCAAGGAAGGTGAAGACTGCCAGCGGAGGATTTGGGTATGTGCTATCGGGTTCTGTCGTGGCAGTGTCATCGTATCCTGACGTTGGGTGTGACAGGACGAGACGATCGAGATTCTTCGGTCAGCGGACCCGAAAGTCAGCGACATCCTCAAGAGCGAGCTAGACAAAGCGCAGTGACCGCCGTCCAAGTTCTCTCGGTCTTCCATATCATCGCGTCACAACATGTTCTTATAGAGACAGTATCTTATAGGACGAGAGTACTTAGTGATTGGCAGCGTGTCGTGATGATTCGGAAGTTACATGAAGTCAGCGCGAATAGCCGGGATCACTATGATAAGTTCCTACTTGGATCGCGTGGCTGTCAGAGGCGCGCGCGAAAGAGCCGACGTGCGTCTTCGCAACGCGTGGGTGTCTGTGGGTGCTTGGAGTAGTCGTTCCGACGTGCGCGGCGAAGTTGGTCTCCGACCACCACCGTCTCCTTCTTATGTCGCTCTATATGGGCATGCCTCGAGATCAGATGATACATACCAACCCTTCTATCTCGTACTGTGCGCAGTCCCGAAGTTCTGTCCCAAACGGAAGACGTCTAAGTCGTCTACATCAGTTTCAGACATGCGCTGGACGGCGTGATGCACGTACCCAGACTCTCTTTCTCGCTCTGGTTCTATTGCCGCACACACCCATCGCTTGAGACAAGTCAGGAATGAAAGCTGAAACCTCTTCATCCCACCCTCACCCGTCGATTCTCATCGGAAAGCACCATGACCCACCGACGCCGACGACCTCGAACGACCTCCCTCGCCATTCTGCCCATCTATCTCTACTCCAAAACGTACTTCCTCCCCCTCACAATTCCAGACTTCGAAATGCATATATAAGCTCAAAAACTTGACCAACTCGGATATCGCCAACGTCTTCCGCATCTTACCCAGCTTCCACTTGACTCAAGATCAACCATGCTCTTTTCTACTCGCATCTCCGCGCTCACCTGCCTCGCGCTCAGCTTGGCGGCCCATGGTGCACCTACCAGGTCAGTATTACATCTCCCACTCACCGCTGTACAACCGCTCAGCTCGTCCCTCTCAGCACCGAGACGACGAGCGTGTCCATTCGCAACCCTCAAAGCGTCACCGGAGTCGTCCCCGAGCTCCTCGGTGCTCTCGACGGGGACCTGTCGCAGATACTAGGCACCCTACTTTTTCCGAGTCCGATTTCGACGAGCTTGCCCGCCAAGCGCCAGATTTTCTCGGCGCTCACCCCCTTGATTGAAGACATCTTCGCCGAGGCTGCTGCTCTGGACGGCGCGCTGAAGGCGTGAATTGTGCGTTTTTGTGGAAGTGAGAGTTGAGGGGTTGGGCTCATGTTCGTCTGGAAATGTTGGGCGCATGGGTCTTCTGAGTAACGACTGGGTCATGAACCATATGTAGAGTACATTGTAATAGGATCTCGAGCCGTGAACCAAGTCAGGATTTGAAATTTCCCATACATCTGGTGACTGCGTCTGAGCATGCAAGAGTCTATACTCAGCCAGGCGTCGATAGCGCAAACAGCAGGGCTAAAGCGAGTCGTACGGTAAGGTGTCTTATGCAGAAGTAAGATCAAGACAAGCGCGTATGAGACGAAGCTCGGAGGAAGCGCGCAGCGTCGGGTGGGCGTCTATGGGTCCTTGTGGATTGCACAGTGGGATCATTCCGCCCGCGCGCGTCGCGAGTCTCAGCCCGACCACCATCATCGTTGGCCGTACACGAACCTATCCATTATGTCTTGAGACCCAGTCTTGAATGAAACTATAGGCTCTCGGCTCACTCGAACTCCAAGATTGTTGCGCCGAATAGCGATGTCGGGTATCCATCCTCAATCGCTCTCGTCGAGAGTCGGACTCGAGCTGCTAAGTCTGGCTTATACCACCGTTCACTTCGCTCGAGGATGAAGGAGGCTCAGAATTCTTTATCCCCCGTTTCTGCTTCGACAACTTTGGCATCCCCAAGCACCATAACTCCGTCTCACCTCACATCTTACACCTCAACATTCCACCCCCTCTAGCAGGATCTTTCTGCGATGGACAAGCTAAACATCCCCTACACTTGCCAATATGAGCGTCCCCAGCGACTATATAAAGGCATGGCAGCGTTGAAAACTCAACCGATATCGACTACGACTCCCAAAGCCGCTTACTCAAACATCGTCACCCATGTTGTCTTCAACCCAGTTCAGCGCCCTCGTCTGCCTCGCGCTCAGCCTAGCAGTCCACAGTGCACCTACCGGGTTCGTGGGCCTCTTTCTATCTACTGCTGTACAGGCGCTCAGTTTTCCGATCTTAGTACCGGAACGACCAGCGCGTACATCCGTAGCCCTCAAGATCCCATCAGCGAGCTCCTCGGCGGGCTCCTCGTCACCATACCGCAATCGAACTCTACACAGACAGGCTCACCCATACCACTCCCACCACTTCTACCGCTTTTGCCTATTCTTAATATCAAGCGCCAAGCAAACGGCATCATCGGGCAGTACACTCTAGCTGAGCTCATCGACCTCATTCAAGGTGAAGGTGACGTGGAAGCAGGGTTGAACGGTGGGATTGTGGAGGGTCATGCTAGTCTTGGCTGAGGGCTTGGTATGTGGGAGATGGGAGATGGGACTTTTGGTGAGTAGTTCTGAGTTTGGTGTCTAGTTCGACTGGCTGTGCTCACGTTTCTTCATTCACAGAATTCATGCTGACATGGATACGATGTTGCGCCCTTCGATCTTCTGAGTATATGCCGACCCATGATCCAAATGTACACTATCGTGAATCGCGAGCTATGTAAAGCTTCCAATTTTAACTTCGCGCCTCATCGCGCGCGCAAGAGCAGCGAGCTTGTCAAACACCGCAGGAATTGATCGCCGAAGACTACAGATCATCTTTCTGCATGACTTCGGTACCGTATTAATAATTACAGGATGACGCGTGCGTGCGGCTCCTACGCTCGGAGGTTGCGGGTATAGTGCTTATCTCAAGTGGGGCTCTTGCGGGATTGTGATGTTGATGTGGCGACGAGAGACGTAGTGACGATGAGGGTGCCGTTGACGGATGGTGACCGGGAGTGAACGTGAACATGTCAAGTAGAAGATATCTTCTCATTCATGTAGACGCTATAGATGCAACAAGCCTGTCTGTGTACGAACCACTCGCCAATATGCATCCAATCCCCCACTGTCGACCCCTCGGAGTCAAGCGTACGCGCGCATGTTAGCCAGGATTCCGCGCACTGCAGCGCAGTGCTGTGGCGTCATATACTCACAGGTACCTTGATCGAGTGGGCCTATTTGCGGCCGATAGCTCTCCGCGTACAAACCCTTTAGGTTGAGTGTAATGTGACAAGTCGCGAGAGGAGAAGCGCGGCAATGGCCGTTCGGTGTGAGCCCGCGACCGCGACGCGCGCACCCTGATCTGAACCATCATGGCGACTTCACGCGCTATGGCTCATACTAGCCCTCTCCGAGTGTACCCCGCATGGCAAATTCCATCTTCTGCATTCCTTAAACCCATCCTGGTCTCCCATGTCTGGTGTGGCGTGGGTCCACGAGCCATCGCCTGTCATCCTCCCGCATCGTGACCTGGGCAGCATCCGAACGGTGCTCCGAGGAAACTACCTTCCATGCTCCACTGGAAATCAGAACTGGACCCTCAATATATCCCATCGTATCCGCGTGGAAGAAAGAGGAGACACGGAGACCTCAACGAAAGAACTAGTAGCATCGCCCAACAGCAGGCGTCTAACGTATGGAAGGCGAAGGCACTTTGCCGCCGGTTTCACCCTCCGAGCCCTGCTTTCCTCCGATCATGGCAAGGTTCGCCATCCCGCTCAATCGCGTGCATCTCTATGCGCGTGTTTAAGCATACTCGCGGTCGCAACGCTCACTCGGATATACCCCGGTCAGCTGCCTACACCGAAACGGCAAGAACATCGCGAAGCGCGCGTCTTCTATGTGCGCTCGACACCACCTGGGCAAATCAGCCCTGCGGGCTTAACCACATCCACTGCGCTTGCGCGACATCTGTAGATGTACGCATGTGCAGATGCTCTAACACCTTATGCTGCTCCACTCGGCTGATCGTGGTACCCGTCCTCCAACCCATCCCGTGCTCTTGGTCACCGGCTCGGCACTTCTCATTCGGCAGAAGCGTGACATATACTCATGCTCTGGTAGCAGAATATGCGAGCAGCACAGAGCCAGACTCGCACAGCGTCGTCCCGACTGGCCGGAAAGCCCAGAGATGTCCTTCCAATCCGGCAACCTTCCTCGTCTTTCTCCTTCGAGATAGATTGTAACCAGCCCTATAAAGGCCAACCTGTACTGTTGAACCATACCTCGGAGGACCTACACACTTCACCAGGACACCCGGCTCTCTGCGATCGCCATGCTCTGCTTCACTGGTCTCCGCTCCTACGTCTTCCTGGGTCTTACGCTTGCTGCTACCACACGAGCGGCCACATACTCCGTCACGGACACCTTCCAGGGTACCGCTTTCTTCAACGACTTTGACTACGAAGCGATCGCGGACCCCACACACGGATTGGTGTAAGTCTTGTACTACTTGCACACGTCGTTATCTGTGTATTGACGAGCACTCTAGAGATTACGTTGATCTTGCCGACGCTCAGAGCTTGGGACTTGCGACCGTATCTGGAAACAACTTCTTCCTGCGTGCGGATCACACGACTACCTTGACGAACGGAGCCGGCCGCAAGTCTGTGCGCATACAGAGCAAGAAGCAGTGGGACAACCATGTATCCGTGTACGCCTTTGGCTCCTTGTTTAAAGCTTCGAGCGGCCCCGGCTGATCCTCGCCCAGATACAACGTCCTTCACATGCCGCAGGGTTGTGGTACTTGGCCCGCCATCTGGGAGAACGGTAACAACTGGCCGAATGGCGTACGTGGCGCCTGTCTAGGTCTCTTGATCCCACGTTGATCGGTTCAAACAGGGTGAGATAGACATCGTCGAGGGGGTGAACGACGTCACGCCAGATGCCACGACTCTCCACACCAGCGCCGGATGCACAATGGCCTCCTCGCGTTCCATGACCGGCACCGCGACAGGCACCGACTGCAATGCCGCGGCGAACGGTAACGCAGGATGTGGCGTGCACATCTCGGACGCCAACTCATACGGTCCGGCTTTCAACGCCAACGGCGGTGGCTGGTACGCCATGGAGCGAACCGACACCTTCGTCAAGGTCTGGTTCTGGCAAAGAACCGACTCATCCGTACCCGCGGATGTGAAGAATGGCGCCAGCAGCATCAACACGAGCAATTGGGGCACTCCGGACGCTTACTTCCCGAACACGTCGTGCGATATCGGTTCCAAGTTCGGGCCTGCGAACATCATCATCAACTTGACCTTCTGCGGCGATTGGGCGGGCGCCGTGTACAGCTCGAACGGCTGTCCCAGCACTTGCACTGGTACGTTGATGTGATTGTATGCCTTGCGACCATTGGCTGACGGGACTGTGCAGACTACGTGAGCAACAACCCGAGCGCTTTCTCAAACGCTTTCTTCGAGATTGGATCCATCCATGTCTACCAGTGAGGGTCAGAGCGAGCGTACGATACCATCTCAAGTCGGCCTCATGACTGGAAGTCGGGCTCGACTGCATACAACGTCTTCAGTACTGTCTCGATGTGTATTTTATCCATTGCTTGTTATCTGTACTTTTAGTAGCTGTATCACTAGGGTCTCAGTTGATAAATCGATTTGCTGTCCATGAACCTTGCGCGCGGAACTTCCGGAATTCGGTATTCCGGTTTTCCACGCCAGTAGTTTCGGCACCGACCCACAAGCTGATCGCTGGGCAATTGATGGCGACTTGCTCTGAACCGCCATGAGGGACGATCCTATTCAAACCTCGCTATCCACGCCCTACAGCTCTTCTGATTGCTATATGGGCGCTGGACATGAGCTTGATACTACTCCAAGTGGGTCGATAAAGTGGTGTCACCGCGGGCCATGAAGACACTATCTTGTCACTGACTTGACGGATCGGCGCGCGCACTGTGCTGCTACTTGAACCCAGACTTGGGCAGATGGAGACGCAGTCAACCCTCCTTCCATATCGCCAATGCCTGCCGTGAAAGCTCCTGCCAAAGCTCTTGTTACCGGTGCCAACGGTTACCTCGCCGCCTGGATCGTGCGCCACTTGCTCGAGCAGGGATACAACGTACGCGGGACGGTACGCAATGCGGAAAAGGGCGAGGCTCTCAAGCGCGCCTTTGCCGAGTTCGAAGGGAAGCTTGAGTACACCATTGTCAAGGACGTTCTTCAGGTGAGCAATCACTTCATTCATATAGCGCATTATTTCAACCTATCTATAGGAAGGCGCATTCGACGCGGCAGTTGAGGGTGTGGATCTCATTGTGCACTCCCTTTCGCCCGTCATCATAAGTACGTTCCATCGGCTGGAACATTCGCCAAGTATCGAATGCTAACTGAAGTCATCAGGCAACGTTCCCGATGGTACACATAGTAGCCATTAACTCCCGACCATTCGTACTGATCAGCGTCATAGACGTCATCCCGCCTGCGGTCAAGGGTACAGTGGGCATACTTCAATCGGCGAAGAGGCATCAAGATACTGTGAAGCGTGTCGTCGTCACTGGCTCGGTCGCAACGATCATCCAGTTCCCTCCCGTTCCGAAAGTATGGGACGAATCCACAGTCAATGAGTCCTCTATCGCGGCGATCGAGCAAGGGTCCACGAATCCAGGCATTATCTACTGCGCTTCGAAAACGATGGCGGAGAAAGGTGTGCTGAGCGAAGTCTACGTGTTGTATAGGACTGATGTCTAGCGACAGAGGCCTGGGCATTCATCACCGCCCGCATGAGCTTCTTTTAGTCGACCGAAAAGGGGTCGAAAAGTGAAATAAAAAAGTTAAATTTTCGATATCTTTTTGTTAGTCAAAAAGCCGTCCCAGGAACAATACATTTTTTAAATCCTTTTCACCACTTCATGATAAATCCTTTTTCTAAACTACCTTTTATGCCCGGGATACATAAAGTTTACCCACCTTTTTTCGAGCGTAGAAACGTGTACTTTTGGCACAGTTTCTGGGTCTTGAAATCGTATCATACTCGCCGCTGTGATATGAATCCTTTTGTGGGTCGAGATAACCATGAAAAAATGAATCGATAGCAGGACGCAAAAATGAATACTATTCAATAACTCTCGTGACAGTCAGACCCGTGCCTTCCTCAAGTTCTTGCGCGCTTGACGCTTCTTCGCCTCCTTTACCTCCATCTTCTTCTTCTTCCCGTCGCTGCAACGCTTCTTCTCGTTGCTGGAGCGCAGACCAGCGATGCGCGGCGAACGCCTCTTCTCGATGCTGCAGGGCTTGTTAGCGATGCGCGGTGAACGACGCCTCATGACTTGCACGTCTTCAGCCGGCACCGGCATCGCCCGGGAGGGCTTGGACTTGACAACGGCCGGCGCGATGTCGCTGACGAGAGGATCGACGTAGCGCACAGTCTGTTGGGCTAGCATCGCTTGACCGGAATGATCGTTGGCAGTTGCGACCCAATCCCAAGCTAACGCAGTCTGTACGTCCCACCTCTGCTCCGGAACTGGGTTTGACAGGCCCAAAAGAACCTCCAGACCTGACAGTGTATGAGTTAATCAAGCCTTGAAGATCATAGCGCTGGTGCACGCACCATCTGCAGGCAAAGCAACAAGGTCCACTTTGTCCCAGCGAATACCGCGCTGTGAGAAGTACTCACGCTCCGCGGTCAGGGTACGCTTGTTGCCCTGGGGATAGCGGATATTCCACGGACAATGTTTGCCCATCAATCTGCAGGAAGAACGAGTCAGCGAAGTTTCGGATTTGGCAGACGCGCATACAATAGAACCACGTACAAGTGAATAATGGTCAGAGCGATGCTGAAGAGATCGATCTTGTAGATGAATTGCATCGTCGCATCGCTCATGAGCTCGGGTGCCATGTACCAGGGTGTGCCCCCACGAAGATAACTTGCCTGTTTCGTGTTAGGGTGCACTTCCCGACTGAGAAAAATACGTAGACACTGACAGGGACCTCCTCCGAAGGTAGATCAACCTTGAATGCAAGCCCGAAGTCTGCCAAGACCACGCGGAGAGGCTCAGATGTGAGTATGAATATGTTCTAGAATTCCTCCATCAGTTGATCTGAAGGCAGTATACATCCGTGAGATTAGCCACCTCTGGTTTGATATCGCGATGCACCATATGCAGACTCTGTATGTGCGCGACCGCGGAAAGTAGTTGCTTGAGGACGGTTTGGACCTCGGCGATGGCTATCGAATGTCTATCAGCGCTCGTGGCGAAGCAATAGTTTGGGAGCGCACTTGGGCGTATGGATGACCAATGGCGTTTGAGGTCCGTCGACAACCGAGGGAGCACCACAACTAGGGCAGAGATTAGTGGGCGCAGACAGAGATTATGAACTCCAGAAGACGACATACACACAGACATGCGTGGTCGCAACACGTAGTAGTCCTCGATTGGACAGATGTTGGGATGTCCGTGGGCTTCAAGCAACGCATGAACCTCCTTCATCGCGTCGTTCTCTGTCCAAGCGTTCTGCTCATCATCCGAGTCAAAGCGGGCGACCTTCACCGCAACAACCTTGCCAGGATTTTCGCGACGCCTCATCTGGTAGACGTCGCCGAAGCCTCCGGCGCCTAAGGTTGACTCGAACTTGAAATGTTTGAGAAAGGCATTGCGACTGAGGGCGCATTCGAAGGATAAACCTTCAATGTATGTGTAAGCCATCATCCTGAGGCAGATGAAAGTCACGCGAGCTCACCGCACGACTCAGCATGAAGAGGCGGGCCAAGCCAAATCACCGCGTTATCCGTAAGTGTGGTTGAGCCGTCCACAGGCAGCTTCACGCCATTAACCTATCTCACTCTGTGAGTAGATGACACGGAAGCCGCGGGTTGAGCACTCACCCATGTACCGTTCAGAGATCGATCTGTGATGGTGGCCACGCTCGTCGCGCTATTCCACGAGATAACGGCATGATACGTTCCTGACAGACGGGTGAGACCTTGCCACAAGTACACCCTAAGTTCTGACGTACCAACGAGGAGCCTGCGGGAGTCAGCGCGGACTTGGACGTCAGCGTCTCCGGGAAAGCCGCGGCCAATGAGATGCTCGTCGTGCGTTGTGTGTAGCGCCACTCCATCACGTTGAGTAGAATCGAGGTCACGCCGGCGAAGCGGCCGTATGCACCCGATAAGCGTGAACCACGCTATGTTGTCGTCGGGGTTCATAGACATTGAGGAGGCGGCGGCGATCTGGAAACCTCAATTGTGGCGTGAGTCGGGACAGCAACACGACATTTATACGTCTCCGAGCCCGAGTAGTTTAGTGAAAAGAGCCCTCATTTGGTCTTAGCGAACTCAACGACCGAGAGGTGAAAGCAGGAAAGACAGAATCATGGCAAAAGAGAAAGCCCAATCATGGGAAAGAGAGAAAGAGAGACTCGTAGGAAAGCGAGAAAGAGAGACTCATGGGAAAGATGTTGGTCATGCGATGACGTCAAGCATTCTCTCGGGCGCCCAATCGGCTTGAGCGGCGGAGACGAGGCATTGAGTACGCCAAAACGGCGTCCGACGGCGCCACAATTTATTTTGAGACCCGGAAAACCCTACGAGACGGAGGAGGGGAAGCGGTGGTACCTTGAATACAGCAGCCTCACAATGTAATACGAGAAGGGAAGTTACTAGGAAGGCGGGTACACGAAAGAAACGCGCTGGCGAGGACAGAGGCAGCACAGCTGAGTAGATTACGCGTATGGTAGGGAGGCTCGATAGCCTCCCTGCTGACCTATATCCTCGCCCGCGAGCAGTGCTTCAGAGCCAGGCGCATCCGCAGTTAACAGCTGCAGGCCTGGTTGGTACTCGCGACGGGGTGCCGATACGGTTGGGGCGCGCTAGCGCGCACAACACGCGGGCGCAGAGACACGACCCACCGAGGGATCGCGTCCAGGTGAGCTGCCGCAGGCATTCGGGCAATGGTCGCTGACGTGGACAGGAGGCCGAGCGTCAACTGTGATGTTGACCCGAAGCGACGGGGAGAAAGGCGCGAGGACAGCGCGTGCCTTGCGGGTGAGAAGCCAGGCTGAGTTCTCTGTAGGTCAGTGGTACGAGTGTACAACATAGTCATGTATTGTCCGGATCCTGCCCATCTACGATCCAGAAGCCACCCCGAAGGGGCAATTTGGCGCGCGGTGGGGAGCAGGGGTATGATGGCGGATGACGCCCTCTGTCTACTTCAACTTGTTCGTACAGTACTTGGGACCTCCAAAGGCAAGCACAAGGGGTATAGCATGGCAAGCCGCTTACCAGCACAAGCAGCAGCGAACCTTACCATTTCAAAGGAACCGACTTGGTGGTACCGCTAACTCTCTCAGCAAGAAGAGCTAGAGACCCTATTGGGGCGCGACTTGATGCGCCCGTCGGGACGAGGGAGGACACAGTGGTCCGCGGGAGTGAGCAGAGTTACTCTTGTTACACGTTGCGGGATCTCAGGACCTCAAGCTTAATAGTCTACACCGTCCAACACTGATTTCCTCGCATCACAATATCATTTACAGAAACGCTTGCATCATGGCTACACCAATGTCACCAATGTACTAGGTTCGGCGCCCACAGTAGAATCCTCCTTCAATTGTCACCGCTGTCGTCTCGCCTCGTGCCAGGATCTTTGCAGCTCACACCTTACGCTTCGACCTTGACGGCTTCTTGCCAATGGCCACAGTGTCCCTGTTTGGCGTTCGTACGTCGGGATCATTTGCGTCGCTTGCCTTCGAAGATAAGCGCGGGGATCGTCTGACCTCGACGACAGGACTCGGAGGAATAGCTGTTGTGCAGTTTGATGGAGGGATTGCGAGCACATCAGGCTCAACCGTTGCGATCCTCACATTACGCGGTGACCGTCTAAGGATGGGTGGCGATAGGCGTGAGGCAGGGGCTGGAGTAGGGACTGGAGTAGGGACTGGAGTAGGAGCTGGAGCTGGAGTCGGGGCTGGAGTTGGGGCTGGAGAACGGCGGACTGGGGCGACGGCGGGCACTACGAACGACATCTCGCCTCCAGGATGGGCGTCGTAAGTCGTATAAGCGGCGGCCTCTAGAGCGCGTTCCCAATCTTCCTCCGCTTGGTTCCTGGCGGAAAGGACCCGTCTGACGTTTGGCGAACCTGGCTGCGTGCGAGCTCCCTTGAGGTCTCGTAGGGATACGACATGTGTGTCCAAAAGCCAACTTGATCTCAATGCTGCCTGAAGACTGAGACGAACTTCCGGGCTTTCCTCCAGGAGGCCTCGAGCTATCTCGAGGACTGCAGAATCTGTCAACCCTCCGTAAGGACAAGTGCACTTGCTGTATGACTTACCATTCCGACCATGGGCTGTGTCTTCAAGACGGCGATGAAGCAGGCGGTCCCAATCAAGGGATCGGTATCGGATATGCTGCTCGAAGGAACACGGGGGTTGCACGAAGCGGTAAGGCTCGAGCCCCAAATTGCCCTGAAGCCTGGGAAACGGTGAGTATATTCCACAACGAGAATGATGAGTGACTCGCATGTAAAATAAGACCATACCACAGGAGTATGTATCTGCTTGTGGGCCATACCCGCCCCTGCTGCGTACGACCTCAGGCGCGACGTATGCCCGAGTGCCTACAAAGGATGTCTAAGACCCTGTCAATGATGTTGGCAGTTGACAGACGGCAGCAACACTTACGAGCCTCTCATGAACATCGAACGCCTTTGCTGCGCCAAAGTCGGCGAGTGCTATGCACCACGGAGAGCTTGATCTCACAAGCATATTCTGAGACTCAATATGAGACGAAGATCAAAGCGAGTACTGATGACACGCACCGTGAGCTTGATATCCCGGTGCGAGATGCCCTTCTCATGCAGGAACTCGACAGCGGTCAGGAGCTGGTGCATGATAACCTGTATCTCTGGTATCGCTAGGCGCAATAGGTTAGGCGTGACTTGGAGCAGAATGCAGAAGCAGACTGACCGACGAAATTTGCTCCCCGAGCTACGAGGGCCTCGAAGAGATCACCTTGTGGGAGGAACTCCATAGTGTAAACTATCATTAAGTCAAAATCTGGAAAGGTCGACAGCAAGACGGCACTTACGATGCATGAACGCTTGGTCTTCATCAGCGTATATGTTGAAGAGGCGGACTATGTAAGGATGATTGTGATTCAAGAGCGAATGAACAGTCGCGATTTCCGACCGCGCTTGCGCTGCTGTCAGTCTACCGAACGATCTTCCATAATCGAGAACTTTGACAGCAAGTTTCTGGTGCGTCGCACCCCGCTTGTGCACTTTATGGACCTCGCCATATGTGCCAGACCCAAGGATGACCTCGTATACATGATCGCGAAGGAACGGACGTCGTTTATGTAAGTCGATAAATTTGAAGGCTGGTGTTCCCAAGATCAATGAGTTGGGATCCGATATGGACAATAACTGGGTTTATACGCACCAGCTGCATTCATATCTCCCGGATAGCCCAGCCAAATCTCGGCAGAGTCCTCGAGAACAACCAACGCGTCTTTCTCAACCTTCACCCCATTGATCTTGAGTGCGACGAAGATTCAGTGAGATGAAAAGTATGCGCACAGCGTGCATAAGGGACATACCGAAGTCGTAGATGTAGTTGACAAGTTGCGTAGGAAGACCTTTGGAGGGCCCGACACCGGTTTTGTTCGAATGATCATGGCATGTAGTGAGCCTGTGAATGCGCCTTGCTTCAGTGGAACGGCGAAGGTGATATGCAAGAGTAACTCACTGGTAGCGGTCCTCGATGCGTGAATCGAGATATCGCAGTGCTTCCCCGTTCTCCCCCGCCCGATTGTCCAATAGTCAAGCCTGTCGTGTAGATATACGCTGGTACGAAATTGCGTAGAGCAACCAGGCGCAAAAGGGTGTTGTGCGTGGGGAAGAGGTTCGAGCCGGGCCCATGCGTACAATCGGTACACATGCAGATCCTGCGCCATGGTTCAAGGTGACTGACCGCTCCGAGGTCAGCGTACGACGGTTGGACGGAGTTTCCAGTCGTCGGGAGGACCTAGATTTATACCGAGGCCGCGGGGATGAAGAAGGATGGGCTTCGACAGCGGATGAAGAAGCAAAGACGGGAAAGACAGGAAAGAACGAAACAGAGGAAACGGAGGAAACAGGAAACGGAGGAAACAGGAAACGGAGGAAACAGGAAACGGAGAAACGCGCGAAAGGGGCGTCGATTCATCTTCCACCAGTAATGAGAAGGGGAGAGGAGGACGTCGGAGACTGCACGGTCGACGTTTGCTACGGTACGTCGGCAACATGAACGATGGGGCCAAGCTGGCCAAGCCGTAAGCCACGGGGACG